AAAAATAATAATAATAATTTTATAAAAACTGTATTAAAATTTGTATTTGTGTTGAATCAAAATTTTGTAGCACCTGATCAAATTTGACCCGGACTGGCAACGAAAAGAATTTAATACCACGTATTTTATTACCGTCTTCAAAATAGTCTCCAGAGTCAATACAAGCATATCGACGCTTAATCCAATTTTCCGTACACTTGTTTAATAACCCTCAGCCGAGATGATTTTCAGTGCCTTAAGTGATTTTAAGATTAACGGGTTTCGGTTGTATGAAGCTCCATTCGCTCGTTTCGAATTCAAAGTGTAAAACCATGTCCCTTCATCTGCAGTAATTCATTTGTTGAATGTAGGCTCGACGACATATGGGAATTTAACTTCAGACGAACTTAAAGAAGTTCAAACAAACTTTGAAAAAAGTTTGTTATCGATTTGGTTAGCATGCTCAGCTTTAATGGGCTAGTCCGGTTGAAATTTGATCAAATAGTATTTAGAGAAGCTAGATTTGGTTGTGTGGTCCCTTGGAATTCCCGTTTCATGATTTTTCTTGTTAATTTCAGTAAATTTTGACACGAGATCTTACAATTAGTCTACAAGCATTGTCCTTTAATCCTATAGAGATCTGTAAGCCGAATGAGTGCGATATTTGTCCAGACAGAATATTCAGCTCACTACCTCCTTTTCTATGGGAAAAAATTGAATTCGGTACTTTGGTCTCGTTTGAGACTCACTCTTTGTTACAGCGCACCCTAATGTACAACTACGAGAGCATGTAATTTTGCAAGCTGAATTTCGCAAGCATCACTTTTGACTTTGTGCAGATAACCAAAATGCTACATTATTCCAGTGAATTCGGAAAACGTTGCATACATGCCGGCGCTAAAACTGAAGAGAACGCCTACACACCCGCTAGAGTTGTGGACTATCAATAAAAGCTCTGTTCGCCATAATTTAAGTTTGAATAAGCATTTGTGTAAATGAAAAAAGAAAAAACTTAGCGCCAAAAGAAATACATAGTCGAAGTGCACTTTATTGTGCGCTCTGTATGCTTGTGTATGCCTATATCAAATAATCACTGAAATCAGTTATATATATATCTCCACTAAAGGCCTTTTTACCACCCTTCTGGATACAGCGCCACACACCTGAAAATTGAGCTTAGCAATTGCTTCGCCTACAGCTTTTAAGCTGCTTCCAAAATTGCTTTTTCACATATTTGCTTGTCTCATGGTCTTAAAGTGCTTTTTGCAATAAAACTTTAGGGGGATTCTTCAGGCTGTAGAGCAGTCTTTGGCTCCAACATGCCGCGCATTTCGAGGCATCGTTTTCGTTTTCAATTTGCCGCCCCGCGAATTCCACACGTCGCTCTTAAATTATGCGCGTTATTTTTTGCCGACTTGGCTGTCAATTTTTAATTGCATGCAAAGTGCATTTCTGATTCGCTCACCACGTGTTCACTTTGCGCGTTTCTTTCTTGATTCAATTTGCTTTAACTGACTTAATACACACRTACATACATATATGGCTATGACTGGCAGGCAGAGTCCGCACAGAGGTTAGTGTGGAGAGCCTAGCCGGGCATACCGCTGTCAGTCATAATCAAATCAAGTCGCGACGCGCCACGTCAGTTGATGTGCGCGTTGAAGAACCTTTTGATGTAGTGCTGGCATCCGCTGCATGTAGGCGGCGATAATGGAAACGTGATGAAAGCACAAACAATATTTTGTTGACCCTGAAATTGAAAGTTGAAGCAAATTTAAATATTCCCTTGACGCGTGAACAATTTTACTCACATATTGAATGGGAATTTCAAGGTCATTGCTCAGTAGAAAGAACGCAATTTGTCATTAGAATAGAATTTTTCGAAATAAAATTTCTCTAAAAGAGTGTGGAAGATGTTAACAAGATGCCATTGCACTAGCAATAAGTCCTCTCTGAAATCTGCAGATGTTCCTACCCCTATTTTCCGAAAAAAAAAAAAATAAACTATAAAACTGTTTGATAGCTGCATATCGAGTGTCATGCAAAGCTCTTAAGTTCTTACACGGCGCTAAGTACCAACAGATAGCGCTATACGCACTAAAGCTCACAACTTAAAGCTCCCATTTGCCAATTAAGCTTTTCTGACAAGTTCTAGTCTATCTGCAAACGTACATACATCATGTTAGTGCGCTTTTTGCAAACATAACTGTGTATACAAGCTTTAAACTTTATGTTTGTTTTTCTAACACGCCTCTCTACCCCGCACAGGTGAGGATGTGTACTTCAATTCCAATGCCAACACATCCAACAACATGGCCAACGGCTCCATCCTTTCGGTTGCCAATAATAATAACAACAACAATAGTAACAGTAATGGCAGCGCTCTGCAAAATTCCATTAACACCACCACGGCAGGCAGCGCCGGCGGCGCACTCATTAGCCAACAGCAGTTGCAGCAGCAGCAGCAGCAGCAACAACAACAACAGCAGCACCAAATGGTGAACGTACCCACATCCATATCCGTGCAACAGTTCAATGCAATGAACAGTGGCAACAACAACAACGGCAGTAATAACGGTGTTGGCGGTGTCAACAATTCCAGCGGCAGCAACGGCCAGAACGGCGGCGGCGGCGGCGACGCATCACCTATGTCGAACGTGCCGCATTCGCAGTCGGCGCCTCACCAGTTGGGCCAGCCGCCGCCGCTAACGCCGCTGGCACAGCATCATCAGGCGTTGGCGCAACAGTTGCAGCAACGATTTGCCATAAGCAATAATAACGGTGAGTAAGCTAACCGCGTACTGGTGTGCAGCGCAGTGGCACCTCAGCTTCCTTGAATCGCTTTGAGTTTCGTCTCTCACTTAAAACCTCGATTTATATTTATTTTGCTTATGGCACAACTATTGAGGCTCCACTGTACTCCACTTTTTGCTTCCATTGTTCTAATATCACAACCGTGTAATTAATCACTTTTTTGTTGTTCTCTTTTTGCAGGTAAGTTTCATACAATTACCAAGTTAATCAACCAGCAAAGCGGTGAGTTTACGAAATAATTAAAAACTCACTACACATTCGTAAGCACGCATGAAAAGCTCATTGCTGTGTTTAATATAATTAGGACTGAGCTGATAAGTACCGTGTCATTTACACTCTACACGAACTACACATTATCGCCGGCAATTACCCACTCGCTGTCGAAATAGTTTGGCGATAAAAACTATAAAAATTCCACATTCGGTAAATCCGTTAATTAAAAGGGGGAATTCGAGATCGGTGGAGAAAATAAGTGGCAGACAAGTTCTTATCATATCATGGTAAAGAATAACCAAAAATTCTGCTTTGTTCCCGTTTTTGGGTTTTTATTCAGTCGGTGGTCTTTTCGTATTTCTAATCAATCTTCCAACTTATTTTTTTTTTTATATTTATACTAATAAATAAATAAACAAATATGTAGCATTTTGGTCGACCACTTTTTGTAATTTTACCGTTAGAGACATTATTCCATTAGTGTAAAGTGTAAAGCGATATTTCCAGAACGAAAGCGATCGTCTTGTGCTACACGAACTGTTACAGCATCGTCTCTGTAAACTTCACAAATTTCATTGGTGGCTTGCGTAGCATTCCTATACGACTATACGACTGCAACGACATCTATTGACAAAATACGAAAAGACTTTTTCGACTACCCAATATTTCGGTAACGAGCCGAGATTTCTAGAATTTAGCTTTTACAGAGCTGGCAACCAACTTCAGATATTTTTTTCTTGCGAATTTCAATCTTGCAATTTCAACCATTTTGCAGAGGATCAAAGTTTCATCCTTACTATGGTTTATTCAACATTTCCAACTCTCAAAGGAACTCGCCGCTATTCTACTACATAATTACACACACGCACACATGCATGCCATGCAATGCGCCCAGCAGGATTGCACCGAAAGGCTTGTTTTTAAGGGAGTATCAGCGAAAACTCTCCATTCGAGTACGCTATAAAAATGTTGCTCATACGCCGCGGTGTGCTCTCCACAGGAGTGCGAACAAACATTTGCGCAATGTTTATTTTGCAATTCCGCTTTGTATGCTGTTTCGCATTTTGCCGCTTTTCACTTAATGCTGCCTGCCTTACGCTTCATTCTTTTTTCGTCATAAATACATACATGCATACTCATTTGTGTATCCTTTCGAGCAGCTCCTGTGTGCAGTTAACCGGTGATGGCATGCGAAGTCTTTCATGATGCTAAATTGAAGAGATGCGAGCGAAAACTGATGAAATGAATGAATGCTGCCACAAGCCAATGGACTGGGGGTGGACAATGGTTGCAGCAACACTGAGCGTGTGTGCGTGTGTGTGTGCGGATATCAATAATATGTATATATCAACATATGTGCGAGTCCATTTATGTGTACACATCTGTGGTTGGACTTTAATGCATAGAATATTTATATGCAAATCTGTTGAACCGTTATGGTATACAAAAACAAGAGCGTGTGGCTCGTTATCACACTCAAGAATTTCCTTTTTTTATTCATGTGCGTCATGTTTAGCAGAAGTACTTACGTGTAAATGCAAAGTTGGTTTAAGTTGCAGCATATTTTACAACTACAACTACTCTGCTTTCTGTGCTCTAGTTTACTTTGCTCGGCTAGAATAATTGTTTTGAAGGCAAGACGGAGCATTTTAATGATATTTATTTGCTCAGTAGTGAAAATCGTTGCGATTTAAGTGGTTATATATAGTTTGAAGGCCGATTTGACAATAATTTTGCAGATCTTTTTCTTTTACCTGTATTTTAACACTCCGCATTAGAAAACTATTAATTTGGAAATGGTCTGGACTCTGAACTGAATCCTCTTTATTAAACAGATGTTAAATCTAGTAAGGCAAATGGAAGTAATAAGCAAAATAAATTTTTTTGACAAAATGCCGGTTTTCAAAAAAAAAAAAAAAAAAAAAATTTGGCCAAAATAGGCCTTAAATTCTTTATAAAAAAATATTTATTAGTGAGAAAAAATTTCATTTAATTACTGAAAAATATACTTACGAAGCTCGTATTAAAATTTGAGACTCGGTTGTACGATTTCGAGTAATTTTGGTTAGAAAACGCATTTAAAATTTGTCCTTGTACTTCCAAGCATCTCAAACGCCTTTTCAAATTTGCGTGCAACCTCTAAAATATCCAACGGAACGATATGAAATTTTCTATATACGTATATTCTTAAATATATGGGTATTAAGAAAAATCATCGAGCTACTGAAAATTCTAACTGTATATAACCCCTTCATATAAATAGTTTTCAACAGCTGATATCTTTCATATTTTTCAAACAACAAATTAAGCGTAAGTATAGATTTTATATGATATATATATGTATATAATATACATATATGAGATATGACATTTATTGTTCAAATTTTCAGGGGGTTTTGCCTTTCATTGTTATATTGCATAATTTGTTTGTTTATTTGTTGTCTGCATATCTTCGGTTCGAACCGGTTAGCATCACAAATCACATTTATTGTTGTGTCTGACAATTATACACACGTTTAGCTCAATGCATCAAGTTTTATCGCAACAATTTGAATACGTGTTTGTTTACTGCGTTATGCAGAGCATTTCGGATAAACAGATAAGCGCTAGCTAACAAGTATCCATAAAATTAGCATACCACCAGTACAACACCTAAATGTCATAGATAACGACACAAACACGCACTCACACAAATGTTCCAAAAATAGCTTGCCAAATAAAAAGTCGGACTCACTAAGCGCTGGAGGCATTAAAATGTCTATGTCAACATCTAGCACATTCTTGAGGGGTTTCATGGGTTTCCTCGGCTTTTTCAACAAAATTTTTTCTCATATAAAAATTAAATATTTTATTAGAATTTTTATTGTTACACACATACACTATTAACAAACAATTTTTGAAATTTTTGGAAACACATATTTTATTTTTAAACTCGGTCATTGCGCCGCCATTTCCGGTGCGTAGTGCGTAGGCAGCATAACTCCTTACAGGATAATCTAAAGTGAAAATAATAAGTGTTTTAATTAAAACCTTAACATAGAACTTGAAAGAAGGAAAAAAATTAAAACTGAATTTTCGGCAGACATTTTTACAACAAAAAAAAAAAAACACAAAAAAAAAAAAACAATGAAAATTGTTTTGAAAATTTCGGATTTTTTTTTTTTCAAATAATTGTAGTGGAAAAAATAATCTTTCGTCCAAGTGTTTAAGTATTGTCTTTGCGATATCTGTGTAAAATTTCATGAACATCGGTTGAGTTGTTCTCGAAAAGTCTTGCAACCGACTTCAAAAACACAGTTTCGAGAAAAACGCGTTTAAAGACGGCGCAGCCTGGCTAGACTCGAGCGCACAAATTTCCAAGGCGGTTTCTCCGAAACCATTACTCGGATCAACTTGAAAATTTAGGAAAACCTCCAGAATGGTTTTGTAAAATTTAATAAGACAATTAAAAAAATCGATTTTTTGAAACCCGTAAAACCATGTAACCCCTTGGAACATATGAGTGACTTAAAAACTTACGAAAAGGGAATGCAAATGTACGCCTCCAGATGACAATAAAATACAATTTTCAAAATAAACATAAACAATGAAAGATGCAAATACAAATAAACAACAAATGCTAAAAATCGCTTAAAAGGCGAACAAAATTTACAAACACAACAATAAATGACTAACGGCAAGTGCCGACGCGCGTCATTTGTCCGATAATTTGTTTATATCCAATACCTACACATACGCACACACATGCAGCCTCGCAGAGGCAATGTATATCGGTATCTGCATGTTTTTTCTCGATTTCCTTTTGTGCGCATATTCTTAAACGCCAGTTCATCGGTTTGCGGGTGGGCGGTTAGGTGGCACAGCCAGAGCAGTGCCTTTTATAGTATTTTCCGCGACTTGCTCTCAACGCGAAATCGCGCTCTTTGACTCTCACAAAAGTTGTTGGCACTAAGTGTTGCTACTGCGTGTAAATTGTCTAAGAAATTTGTGGGGTTTTCAAGTTGATTATTGGCAATAATTAAAGCGAAAGAAAATTGGAAAATATAAATCATTTAATTTTGGGATTTTTTGAGCTCAGAAATCTTCAAATATTCTACACAAGTTCCAAGTGCTTGTAGATCAGTACAGCAGCCTTTGGAAATGGTGAGGAATGAAATTAATTGGAAACGAAAGCTAAACTAACCAAAATGGAGGGAAAGATTCTCTACGGACGATCTGTGGTGGGGTAGAAGAAGCTATAAGGGGCTCGGTTGATTTTTAAAGGTTAAAAAATGGTTTACCTTGATTTCTGGCGAACTACGACTCCAAGAGAAACAAGTTAAACTTTATGCGAAAAATTCAGATATTAAATTTTTCGAATTTTGTTTTAAATATTGTTTTAAAATATTTTTTTTACGTTTAATTTAAAATTTATGCAAAATAATCAAATATTAAATCTTTTGAGTTTTTTATTTTGATTTTCTAACAAAAAAATGTTTTTCTACACTTAATTTAAAATTTATGAGAAAAATTGAAATTTAAAATTTTTTCAGTTTTTTAATTTTATTTTGTAAAAAAAAACTTTTTTGATGAAATTTGGTATACTCTTATCTTTTTATATCCCAAACACACTGTATTTTATTTTATTTCAAATACTAACGGCGAACCCGCTTTGCAATCGAAATTGCAAAAATCGGAAAATCGAAATTAAAACCGCAATTTTCAATCAAAATTTCTCACGTCAATTTATCAGATTTGTTTTAAATTTTTTTGTTCTTTTTTTTTAAATCTCTATTTTCTGATATTATTTTTATTGTAATCGAAATTCTGTTGTTGTGGCAACTCTTCACCTGCCGTCTCTTATATTTTACGCTATCCTACTATCGAAGAAAAACGTCAAGCAGCGTACTCTCCGCTCAGAATTTGTTTTGTTGCGCTCATTGTTTTTGCATTCGCTCATTTATGGCAGAATTCGTGAAAGCGCGCATTTGGCGCTCTCAAAGCGTCCGCCGACCGTCAACGGGTCAGTGAAAAACATATTCAGTTG